TTTGATTACTTTTTGCCATTTTTATAAATCTCAACCAGCATTTCATTTTGATTTCACTTATTTTTTTCTTGTATTTATTTTATTTGTTATTTATAATTATAAATTTTTTTCTCAACTCCTTTTGCAATTTTGAATTATAATACTTGATTAATTTGATGGTCCAAAAACATTATATTAAATATATATATATACTATATGAATACACATATAAATATATCAAATATATGAATTGAAAACATAAAGATAAATATTAATGTTATAATGCATTGCCTTTTGTGGTCACTGTTATGAATGTGTGTGTCTTCTCACTCATTCAATGTTGTATTTGCTGTTACAGTGTTTCCAGTGATTGTTGGTATCAATGTATCTATCGATGCGATCATTGCTCTCTCATATTTGCAATAGAGTTAGGTCTCGTTTCACTGAATTCAATACTCTCTCTCTCTCTCTCTCTCTCTCTCTCTCTCTCTCTCTCTCTCTCTCTCTCTCTCTCTCTTTCTCTCTCTATCGGCTCACTTGGTGGCCATTTTTCATAATTTGTGTCCTTCCCAGTGGACTCTATTGTAGTTCATTGTTACGTATGACTACATTATTGCCATTTTTCGACATTACCTCTATTTGTGTCTAACTCTCATTGGTATCGATTTTTGCACTGTTGGCTTAAATCCCATCGAGAGATATATTGAGTAAAAAGCAAAGCATTATATTGATATGTATTGCACTTTTAAAACGGCAAATCCACTTTTCTATACAATATATTGTCTAAATTTTTACAGATATGCTATATAATGAGTTGTTTTCTAGATATATAAACAATCGATAAAATTTATACTTTAAGTATTAGAAGCAAAACTTTTTTATCACAAATAAATAGTTAACAAACAACTCAAGTATTGAGAAACAACTGATAGTAGGGTTCGCCAAAGTTTTCTAACAATTGTAATGTACACACACTTCAAGCATAGCATACAATAATAGGTGTGTATAACCACTACTATTTATGTTTAACAATCCATAATACTATACAATCATCATCAATGAGACTTTTATTTAGTGGTAAACCTTATCATTTTAAAAGGTATAGTTAGTCAAAGCCAACATTTCATAGTATAGTAACCAATACTTAGCGAAATGTGATTCACTTGAATAGCATTAAACTATAGACTGGACAGTCATTTAAAAAGATTTTACACTACAAATAATAAACAGCTGTATGTAGTGACTGTCAACTTACAAATAATATACCGATTCATATGTCTGTACACTATATGATAGTCTCATTACTAGAGAACATCTGTTGATGTGATGGTGTGTTTTGTTTGTACACCCGTTGCCACACATTTGACTGTGACTTAGGCAACACTCCCGCCACACAAACTCCTGATCAGAGTTACCGATCTTTTTAGTTATTGTTTATCAATACTTCTAGTATTACATAATATATTAGATTTATTGGTCGATTGTCACATATCTTTCCTCTCGATTCATAAATTTTTTTGTTTACTTAGCAAATGAATAAAATATTTATGCCATTTGAGTGAATGTCTGTTATTTGCAATTAATTTTACCAAACATTAGAATAGCATTAAAAGTGCTATTTCTGTGGTCTCAAGACATACATATTGGTGTTGTAATATCAGTGATGAGCTATATATATGCCGGTCATGACTTTAAAGCACAATACATATTACATACCATATTATATTTGTGTCTCATTTTTTCTCTCGGATGACGTGCTTTACATTTGGACATTAGGGTCGTCCGCAGCTCTGGTAGCAAATGACCTATGATTTAATGATGTTTTCTTTACAAATGTAATGAATTGATCCAAATCTCCATCAGATGTTTGTCGGAATGTCTATTCATTTACGATATATCTCATACACTCAGTAATGTATTTCATGTACTGTGAGAGTGAATCAAGAGGTGAATGCCTGGTTTGTGATGAGCCCTCTCATCAATTGTAGTTACAGACAGACAAACCAATATCGCAAACATTTCTCATTTGTTGTATTTTTTTGGTTCACTTTTTTCAGTTGACATGAGTTACAGGCAAAGAGCAATAGGGAGTGAGTGAGATATAGAGGACAGGGAGAGTATTAACAGATAGTGTGCACCCGAAGCACACAAATTACAAAATCGATTACTTAACTCAAATTGTTTGCCCTTTTCATGACATCACAAACCGATAGATTTATTTAGCAAATTATGGCAAAACAATAAATGCATAGTTATCCAGGTGTGTCCAAAACACATTTGCAATTTTTAATATTTTGTTGATTATACGGATAAATGCAGTTTACCATAAAATATAAACACTACTACTTTAATATAAGAACAATAAATTTGTGGTTATTATTATGTTTACATTAAATTCATTTAAAATTAGAAAAACCAGTAGTAAATGTTTTATAAACGTTTAAATAATGTATTTTAAAATTATATGTCAGTATTTTCAACATTATATTACTTTAATTACATTTTTATATAACTGCAGATTAAGATATATTTGATATATAAATTTAATTTAATATTTGAAAATTGTTTTTATTTTTTTTAATTCTGTATTTGTAATGGTTTTTAAAATTAATTCCCAAAAACTATTTTTATTTAATTTATATTTATTTGTTTCACACAAAATAGCTTTTGTGACCTTAAATTTACTCATAAAATAAGTTACAATTTTGTTAAATGTTTAAAATGTTATTTTGAGAGCAAAAAACTTTATTAAATGGGAATCCAATTATTTATTTGGGGAAATAATTTTCTCATTGAATTGTAGTTAAGAAACAAACATTTAATCTCTATTATGAGATTTTATGACTTTTATTTTGCTTAAAAACTTTTAGAACTTGAGATTTGTATTAAAATTAAATATCTTTTATATTATTTTGTTATTTCAAAGAAAATAGTCTTTTTTATTTATGAAGCTTAAAGAGTAAGTGAGGGGATGACAGTCAATGGTGACGGTAGAGGAGATAAAGTAAAGGCCTGATGTCGACAAACATTTCTATAGGGATTTATATCAACCAAATTCAATGGGATATTTGTGTAGCTTTTCGGTGTAATTATATTTATCGTTTTTTTTTTGTTGTTGTGTTACTAAAGTAGAGCACCGGTAACTCAATGACTGTTGTCATTGTGCAGTGCATTGAAATAATTCCATTCCATTGCATAATTCATTGGATCAAACGGTTGTCCCTTTTCCGGTGAATTACCATCATATGTATAAATACCATACAAAACACAATACTCAATATATTGTATAAATAGTACTTATATGTAGTATTATTACTACAGTATTTATATTATTACAATTGACGGACAGCTATACTCTCACTAACCTTTAGAAATAATTTAGTATTTACACTATTTATACAATTATTTGTTACTCTGATAAGTCAAAGAAAGAAAGAAAGAGAGAAAGAGAGAAAGAGAGAGAGAGAGAGAGAGAGAGAGAGAGAGAGAGAGCATTTGACTTAAGAAATATTTTTCATTAATATTATATTTTTGTTGATAAATTTTTATTTTATATTTACAAATTTGGCAATGAATATTTTATTATATAATTTTATAAAATTTAATAGTTAGTGAATTTGATTTATTGATAATAGTATTGTATTGTATATATTTATTTTAAATGTCTATTATTCATTACAGATACTTTATATAACTACCGTATTATTAGTCACTTAGTGTTTACTGTATATAAAAATACAGTATAGTATAACTGTTGTATTAAAAGATAATTTCAATATACTGACACTCTAGCTGTCAGTACTGTCACTTATATTTGGTAATAATTTACAACTGATTATAATGTTATGTAATTATTAGACAGATTGAGATAATATGTGACAAACTTTTCTTTATTTCTTTAATCAGTCCTTACTTTTCATAGTTATAGATAAAGACTACTCTTTCACTCATCTAATGCACTGTTAAAGTGAAGCAAACGTTTTCAATGTTAATGTCAGCCTCGGCTCAGAAATTATCATTAAATCAAATCTCAACGGATATACAGCCATATAATAATATACTTTATATTATATACTCATATAAGTGCTAAAAGGGAAGACAGGGACTCGCCTATATGTAACACACACTACATGTACCATATAATCATATAAACAACATATATCAGCATCTCTTTAAATGCAATCAACTTTTGTATTTAGATTTAAATTTCATAAATACAGTGTACTTCAAGCTTAAGGCACTAATAATAATAAAAGTACAGTGAGTGGGTGGGCGAGTGAGGGACTAAGTGGGTGAGTGAGAGAGCAACGCATAAATATTGTATATACAAAAATATAATTTGTTGTAATAGTGGGGAATGGAGTTAATGACATTTTCAACGACAATGCATTCAAAAAAAGTTTTTTCTCCAATAATATGATTATAAATCTAAAAAGAAATTGAATCCATTTGTAGCGTTAATATTGACTCGAAAGGTGGCTATAAATTATAATAGGTTTGTCTCACATGTTTGAGCACTTTTCCTAAAATTAAAGCCCAGCACTGGTATATTGTATTGCACTGTTTGTCACATCAGAGTCTCAGTTGGCCAGAGGACAGGGATTGTAATTTTGAAAAGTGATTCTTCCAAATGTAACATACAATATATATATATATATACAATAGATATATAATATTATTACATCACTCATATATCTATATTACTTTATGCCTCTATTGTGTTAAATTTTGATATATCACTTGTCTATGCTATGGAGATATATAATAGCAAATCACTAAAAAAGTGATACACTTTTAGCCCAAAGCCTCTATTTATAATCAATAGTTATTTTGACTTTAATGTTGACATACATATGGAAAGTATATTGAGAAAAGTGTTTATTGAGAAAAATACTTTTAAATAAATAATATTTGTTGTATCATATAATTTATGTTTATTTCACAATCAATGAGATAAAGCACAGTTATGTTTGATTTATACATTTATATTTAAATCATTTTTTCACTTTTATTGTTCACAGGTTTATAAACGCCAGAAGACGTATTGTTCAGCCTATGATAGATCAGTCCAACAGAGCAGGTATGCCATCAATTGTATCAATGATATCTATAGAGGAAGTGGTGCTAATGAGAAACTTTTTCCTATCAAATGTAATAGTTTTTTAGAGTTTCTTTTAATTTTGATTCAAAACAAATTTATATGATATCTATAGTATTTAATTGAATTCACAAATGAGATATACATTGAGTTAGTGAGTGAAGCATTGAATGAATTAATGGAAAGCCATTTGCCATTTGGCAGTTTGGCATCATTGGTATAGCCGTGGCATCACTCTCCCAACTCCCGGTGCCATAAGAAGTGAATGCCATTTCTCTGGCGGTGCGTATCGGAAATTGACAGGACTTGTGATTGATTGCCACAAGAAATGCTTTACTTTTTTCTGGGACCAAATGCAATGTGCTTTTGATGCATTGCTTTATCCTTATATATATATATAAACTTTATGTATAATACAGTATAACAATACCGACATAACAGTGTTGTTCATTAAAATCTGAAGCCATTTATGCTGAGTTCAGACATTTAGCAGAGGAAAGTTGCATAAAGAGAGTGGACATCCATTGAAATGAGAGTTAGTTGTCGACCAAAACTATTGAAACAATCCGTCACTGACTTGACATCAGTGATGCTCAGCTGTTATGCGGAAATGTGTTTTCTCATTAGCAATGCTTTCATATTATAAATAACAATATAATTCTCACTCTATTTTTATTATTTATGTCAGATTTGGGCGGATCTATTGGTAGTGCCGGTGCTGCTTACAGTCCCGATGGTGGCATGGGATACATGATGGATGGCAGCCAACAGTTCAGGCCACCAGGTATTTGCATAACATATATACCATCACTATATACCATATAATCCTAATGAATAAGCATTACATAAGAGAATTATACGGATTTTAACTGTGAATTAATCCCCTTTGAAGACACCTATAGATATAATGTATTCAAAAGCATCAAAATAAATATAATAATGACATATATAAGTACTTTATATACATATTATATGTAGATATTCACAGACTTAGTACATAACAAAACTATACAGAATTATCTTTAATATCTTATTTTTGATAAATTACTTTAAGATTAAAAATAAAACATAAACCAAATCACCTCTTAATAGATCTTAAAACTAAAGGATTTAAAGATTGATATTTTTGTTTAAAAATTGCTACTTTTATTAACATACAGTTGTTTTACTGTATATTATTTTGATTATTTTGTATATATATAATATCAAGTTTTTAGTTTAAATAGATTTTTGTAGTAATGTTTACTTAAATTTTATGCAAATATTAATCATAATAAATTAATATTTGTTTGTTTCTGGTATTTTTATTATCAAAGATATTTAAATTTTATAATAGTATAAATTTATTTATTGTTTTTAGGAATTTTTCTTTTAAACAAATCTTAAGAATTATAAATAATAAAAATTAATTTTTATTAGTCAATAATTTATATTAATTATTAAATTTCACGAAAAGATAATTTTAATGAATTTATTAAAGAAATATATTTCTGGTAATATGTTTTACAAAATAAACGCTTGTAATATATTCTAAACATACTTTTAAAATAGTTTTCATTGCTAATTATATTTATAAAGTCATTAAAACAGCTAACCAGTGAACTAGTAGCTTAAAATGCAATTTATATATTTTCTAAAGTGGTATATAATAATATAATATGAATAATTTAAAATCTAATTTTAAGATACTATCATACGTTTAAAATTGTTTATTATTATAAATTAGAATAATTTTTAAAAATAATTTTTGTTGTTATTATTACAACATTGTTGAGGTAGTTGTTGTTATTTTTTTATTGTTTTGTTACAATTCACGCACTGTAAGGATTATATTGTATATGAATTGAATACATATATGAATGTATATAAATTTATATACTGTATACTATATATTATCTTATACTCGATTATACATAAATCTTCAATTCAGTGATTAAGCTTTTTATTGTCATTCATGTCAGTAAACAAGTCTATTGTATTTGAAACTGATTTGAATAATTAAATTGCTTTAAAAAATAACAAAACAGTGTTAATCCGTTACCATAGTATGTATAACATATTACTATCAAAATGAGTGTTTGATTGACTTGTTTTTTTTGAAAGTATTTTATTTTTCTCAAAGATGTTATATAGTGTTATTTTGTTTTACTATAATATCTAGAATTTGCTAAAATAATTTTTAAATAATCCAAATATATTTATTATGTAAACTATAAAATTAATTCAATATCATTTTTGAGCAATTATTTACAAATCAATTTAATCCTTTTTTAACTTTAACCTACAATTAAATAGAAATATTTATTGAAAATTATATGATATTTTAAAAAAATATATTTCACATTAAATACATTATATCAATTCTACATATTTTCTATCAATTTTGACAAGTTTTGCAACATTCACTATAATTATAATTTTTTAATATTTAACTTAATATTAAATTTGATAAAATATTATTATTATTATTATTAGGAATGCAAGGCTGTGGTGACGCCTCAATGGGAATGGCCGGACATATGGGAGGAATGGGTGGCTATTCTCCATTTAATCCGCAATTAAGATCACCTGTATTACCCGGACACCCTCATGCAGCTATGATGATGGCACATGGACCTATGGGACATTCAGGTCTACCACAGGGTTCGCCATATGACGGTTCAGGTCAACACATTATGGACATTCATGCGAGTTAAACAACAATTATTAATACAATGAGAAACACTAACATTTGTGTTAATGACACAAACTATTGAAGAAAATTTTGTTCAATAAATTCAATAATAATATTATATATTGATTTTTATGAACATCAATAAGATTACGAAATAATGGAAAATTGTTTTGTGTTTTTGTTGTGAAAATATTTTTTTGACCGCATTATAAAAACGGTTTAAGTTTTTTTAATAAAATATAATATATAAAATATTTAATAATAAATTTACATTTAAAATAATATTTAAACTTTTGTAATATTAATTCTTATTATTATAATTATTGCTGATTATTGATTAGTTGTATAAAACAAATGTTGTTTAAATTGAATGAGTTTGTAATGAGTTTTTAAATTTTTTTCATGTTATTATTTATGAATTAATTTGTGATTTAAATTAAAAATATTTTTTGTATTATAAGAGTTGCCTTTTAAAGGGGTTTTAATTATCATTTGTGTCACTCAATTTCAACCACAATTTTTTTCATGAATTAACCGAATTGTAAAAAACAAAATACACAAATTTATTATATAAATACATGAATTAATTTTATTATATAAATATTGAATATAACACTGGATTCTTGATAAGCAAACATTTCATCCAATTTTCTGTTAACTAAACATTATTATTGTAAATCTATGTTATATCTTATATATCTTATTGTATATCTATAATTGTTTTTTCATCACATAAAACATTTATGTCAAAACATTTTGGATAAATCAAACTTAATACTACAGAAAACATTATTATTATTAATAAATATTTACCGAAAATATAAAAAAATAATTGTAACATAAAAAACAATAACTCAAAAACTAACATTGTTTATATATATATATATATACAGGGTAGCATACAAAACATAGGTTTTATATTTAGTATTTAAGACAATTATAAAATAATATAAAACATAAATTTAAAAAAACTTTATACCTAAATCAAATATAAAACATGCTAAAATTGATTTCAATTGATGTTAAATATTAAATAATTACAGGGAAAACAAATTAATTAGTTGTTTAAATCATTCAATCATTTGTCACAATATTTCATTTTTATAAAATTTATTTCACAAATTTAACTCCATATATTATAATATATATAATTATAATATATAATATAATTACAGCATATTTTATATAATTGTTATGTGGATTATTTATATATTTTTAAAAATTGAATACAATTATGCATTTTTTTGTTTTTTAGGTAAACATTAATAAATTTTGATTAGCAAGTTATTTTTTAAATGAAATTTATTTTTATTTTATACTTTAGCATTATTTTTGAATTTGTCTGAAATTACTTTATATATAATGATTTGTCTTGTTTTTACAATTTTAAAAAGTACAACAATAATCTGTAAATTAAATTAATATATTTTTTATTATATCTAATTTCTATTTAGTTTTAAAATAAGAGAAAAGGATGAACAAACTTATTGTAAAATATAAAAAATTATTTCCGAGAGAAATGGAGATTAAATTAATGTGAATAGTGTTTGTTGTGAATCATGTTTTTGAATACATTTTTTTTTTAAAAATAATAATCACTCGAATCATAGAAATTTAGCGATTTTGGTGTTTAATTACCTGAAACTTATGTCGAGCTTTTTATAGTATTATTATTTTAATTATAATAATAATAATTATTATTATTATTACTTATAATTAGTATGATTTTTACTGTTTAGTCTTTTTTTAATACCGTTGCTTAATATAATATATTTGTACATATTTTAAATATGAATCCATTTCTCATTATTATAATTAATTTACATTAATTTTATTTCTAATTAACCATTGGGTGGGACACCGACACATACATACATTGACATACCATAAAATATATCACTTGCCTACTACTCACTCATTCCCTACCGTTTCCTCTGATAAATGTCAGAATGATTTGATAGGACAGAGAGTGCGGACATTAATAGTTGGGTATAAAAGACTAATCAAATGAATTATGATTTGAATCAATTGAATGTGAAATATAGCAAATAAAACATATAAAACATTAAGTTTTAGTTGTATTTGTACGTAATTTTTCAGTAAATATAACATATAATTAAATAAATAATATTGACGATTGATTATTATTATAATTATTATGATGATTATTGATGCTATTATAATTAATATTAATATCTAAATCATAACTAATATAATAAAAATTATTTGTAATTAAAAACATTACAGCAAAAATGATTTATATAATACCATTTTAAGTTTGTTGTGTAACTCAAAATTAACTAATAAAATATAAATATTTTAAAAGTGAATTTAAGTGATTATTATATTATTTCATTTAAAACACTTTTATGATAAGCTATTTATTATAAAAAATATTATTAAGTTTTATAAAGTTATTTTAATTAATAATTTTTATTTTAGATTAAGTTGAATTACATTATTTTATTAAAATATTTTTGATAATTATAAAAATGTCAAAAAAGTCATTTTAATATTCCGTTATTTTAAATAATTATTTACTAAATTAATATTAGCAAAATTAATTTAATTTTATAAAATTATGAAAATAGAGCAATAAAGTATCTATTTTGCATAAAAATTTAATTTAGATTATATAATTTTATAATACAATTAAAAAAATAAATCAATGTGTCATTCGTAACATTATTTTGATTTATTCTCTAATAATTTTTATCCTCTTTTAATATTTTTTATTCATTTTTCTGTCTATTTTTCTAATAGTATTTGCGTACATATGTTACACAAAACTACTTAATTTAGGATATATTATATTAACAATCATATGAAGTGAGGACTCTATTAAAAATTATTTAAAGAGGAAAAAGGAAAGTTATGTTGAGATGTATTGTTTGTCTAATAGGACTGGTAGGCAATAGAAGCAACATTTGGCACCAGCTGACAAATCTAATTGGCCTTCAACTACTTCATGTCTGTCCATTTATGCCATCAGTTATAAACACATCTAACACTACAATATATACGATACATATATGATATCGTATACTAAGTTATGATATGGTATGGCATAGCTTTGAGATATACAGACCAATACTCTCAACACTCTTTCCTATGACTTCAATGTGTTTAATGTATTGATGAACACAAATGTATAATAGAGAACTCGTTAAAAGCAGAAAGAGAGAGTGAGTGAGTGAGTGAGTGAGTGAGTGAGTGAGAGAGAGAGAGAGAGAGAGAGAGAGAGAGAGAGAGAGAGAGAGTAGTAAACTTATTGAATGCATCCCACTGTTCAACAGCTGTTTTTGACATCAAAACTTTTTTAAGGCACTCATTATTAACAACAGTCCCTACTGTCCACATATTTACTCTCTCTCTCTCTCTCTCTCTCTCTCTCTCTCTCTCTCTCTCTCTCTCTCTCTCTCTCTCTCTCTCTCTCTCTCTCTCTCTCTCTCTCTTCCGACAAATATAAACACAGACAGTAAATATATTAACTTCATTTTTTAATTAATTATATAATTATAGCATATTTATTTTTGTATATACCGTAATTGATATTACATTTTTAAAAATACTTATATTATTATAAACTTTTCATAAATATTACTGTATTATTGTTTAATCAGAAACATTTGGACACTACGACCACAAACTGCGGCACAATTAATACATTATCATCAAAATAATACTAAAAAACAAACTTATTTGACTCAACTTATATCAAATAACTAAAATGATATTCAAATTTATTTAACTCATTTATACTTAAATCAAATTATACTGTTATTATAATAATTGTAATCTTTTATTATTAGTAAGAATTTTAATTTTTCCTTTATATTATTATTATTATATTCATTAAAATATAGTGATATTTTAATAATGAAAATTAGTGAAATTATAATTTATTATAATTACAATTAGAAATACAGATTAAATTATATTAGAGAAATAAATTTTTAGTTTGGCTCAGTTATAGTTAATAGTCAGCAGTTAATAAAAGTTTGGGTATTATTATATAACAATGACTTTTTTATTTGGTTTTCTAAACAGTATATATATTAGAGTATTACCAGGTATTTAAATAAACAGTATATTTGTTAACAACTATTAAAATAAAAATTAATAAATAAAATGTTTTGCTTCGTTGAAAATTTCTAGCATTTTTGAAATAATAAATATAATATAATAKTTAATAATATTTGAATAATTAATGTTATAATTAGTYATACACTACTGTAATGTAAAAATATGTTACCGGTATATATAAATAATGTATTTTAAAGTAACTRCAGGTAAATAAAAAGTGTTGTTATAACTCATAACTAAATATATTTTACTATTTAATCATTTTTTTTGTAAACTATTTTTCTAATTATAATCAAAAATGAATTTCGCATTTAATATAACTAGAAATCAAATTTTATTAATGATTTTGATTCAAATGTAATGTTAATAACATAAAAATTATGATTTTTGTTCAACACTTTTGTTATCATCTAATGGTTGTCCATCCGAACCGTTCATAAGTGTATTATCATCGGCGATGTCTTTATCTCTGGAGTATAAGTTCGGGTATTGAGACATACAGTCCTGCATTTCGGTAAACTTATCGACACAGTCTTCGCCCTTATTCTCRGCGGTCGAGTAATGAAAGCAACCAAATGCCTCCCGAAATTGGTAACCGCACGGCCCACTGGCCATCCCTCCCAAACACGGACAGTTCCAATTGATATCACCGTTGGGCAGAATTAGACCGCGCGGCTCATCGGCGCTTTCATCGGTTAATTCAACGGTCGATGGCTTCGAGTGATCCTCTTTTGTGGCAAATATTATGCGATCTTTTCCTATCTCTTGACAATAAGACATCTCAATTATTGCGGTGTTGTCTTAGTTGGCGACCAGTTGTGCGACCATTTGATGAACCGATTCAACGCATCGATTGATAAATCGGCTAAAAGTTCATCAAAAATGTTGAATCAATTGATTACAAACTGAAGACAATTATTAACAAAATCACATTAATTACGTCCTCTTAAGTTAGTCATCGATGGTATCGCCAAATCATAATTAGGGATCAATTAATACATTATTTCAATTAATTTTCAAATATTTGTTTAACAAATCAATGTATTAAACATTAAAATACTAATTAATTGTGTTTAACATTAATGTCAATCAAATGCAAACAATCCAATCAAATGCCATTCAATTCAATGTATGAAATAATGTCATTAAACTTTGCAAACAAATCGCGCGGACTTTAAAATAAAATATTYTATAAAAAGTGTTTTAAAGTTTCAGATTAATAGTATCTACAATGGGATCAAATTCAATGATAATGATTATCCTATTTGTTTGTTTATTGATAGTAATATCGCAAAACACATTAAACAACGATTTACTTTAAAAATTTTAATTACTGTATTAGTTAATGAATATATAAACAAGTATTATAAAATAATTATTAAAACTAATATTAAAATACTATTGATTTACAGTTTATTATTTATTAAGTTTTGTCATCATTTTGTGGTAAATTTTTATGACTATCAGGTTTTTTAAATTGTTGTACAATACTATTGGTATTTATCTGATCTCTGAAATGTGAACAATTGTTATCAGATTTAAACTGACTCTTTGCTGTCATAGCTTTTTCGGTCATCTGATGAGGAATATTATGACTTCGAGTGACTTCATCCACGTGTACGACATTGTTGGCCATACTTTGCGATAAGATATCATTGTAATCACTTTCGGCGTTAATTTCAGTATGGATTTTGTTMARTGTTTGCAAAAGTTTATTACTTCCAGCCGATGATCTAAAAATTTGCAAAAAATTGAATAAATTTATTGAAATTGAAATAACAATTATATTAGATATTAAATTTGAAATACTCTTTATTTGTTGATTTGTTCCCTTTATTATTGTCATTTGAATTTCCTTCAATATTCCTGCAATCAATTACTCAATTATCTAATATTTATAAGAATATTCTGTAAAATAATAATTATTACTTATTTTTCATTTTCAGTATCTTTGCTTCCATATGATCGACACCACTCTTAGAGATATATTTTTTGAGACAATTTATAAGATATCTTAATTGTTGCTTAAATTAAAATTAATTAATTATTAATTATACAATTATTAGTTTAATTATTGTATATTTACTCTAATGTAATGCACTGTCGATAGATTGCCCACAAATTGTTCGACACCATTGATCACATTAAATACAACCTAAAGACAAAAACAAAATAAATGATAAAAATTAAGTTAAAAAAAGATTACTAAAAATATTTACCATATCGTTAATTATGAAGAAAACTCTTTTCTTTTGATTTATCTCTGTTTGAATGTTTAACAACTTTAACAATGGTTTAGTGGTTCCACCCTATCATCCAAATTGTTATAAATTTAGCATAAATTATGTAATTATTTTAATAATAYTRTAAATTTTAATATTTACCAAAATAAATACAGTAAACAAAATTAAAACAAAAGTAGTTGTTTTAAAAAGATCGACGTTTTTAACACCTTTTACTTCACTTAAAAGTGCTATCATTGCAAAAGCAATGGCACCTCTCAGACCTCCATAAGCCTAAGAAATAAAAAGTTTTAATTTTAATAAAACTTATTAATTATTAAGATATGATAACCATTAGTATCTGTTCTTTAAATTGAACGATTCGAGTCCTATGAAAATATCTGTTTGAAAAATATGTCAACGAAAACACACCTAATAAAAGATAATAATTGTTTTTATATCTATTTGTTGCATAAATTAAATTTCTAATAACTTACTGACGATACGAAAGATGAGACAAAATATTATTGTAAAGACAACAAATGACTGTTAAATRTTATAATATTACAAAATTAATAATCATRTMATTTAAATAGAAATTTATAATAAAAATATATAATAAAAATTAATAATAAAAATTAATAATAAAAATTAATAATAAAAATTAATAATAAAAATTAATAATACGGTATTCCAGATGTGATCCATACTTATCAGCATTTGTCCCAAAAAGAAGAATATTAACAAATCAGCGATTGTACTGACATTAAAAAAAGTTTGGGTTTTAATCATTTAAATAATATTTTTCATTTAAGTAATTAATAATCAATACCTGAGACCTTTAATACTATACTTAACCGTTGTATTTGTTTTTTCAGTGGTATTACGATTAGCAAACTCTGATTGTGTCTTAAATTATATAATTTTCAAAACAAAAAAATTAGGAAAATATTGGATTATTTACAAAAATTATAAGTAATTACAAGACCACATCCTATCAAACTTATGAGTCCAGATAAATGAAACACATCTGCAGTAAGAAATGCCAGATATGCCATTCCCAACATAATAGTCGGTTCAACCACTATAACAAAKATATTCAATATTTTAGTTTTATTTATTTGATAATAAAATTAATTTAAACCTTCTGAATGTTTTGTATATAATGTCATAATTGAAGTAAATATGCCGTATATAATGCCAATTAAAAAACCGCCGACACTAACGTAGAAGAAGGCACCGACACCTTCAATGATATCAGCAGTTGTTATGATTGGTGTATTGACAAAGTTAGTCAACAATTCTTGTAATACTATAACCACAGCATCTTTTAATTGAGTAACAAAAATCAATAAATAAATCATATTTTTTTTAATAAAGTCATTTAAATTTTATACCATTTAAAAGAGATTCGCCAAACACTAAGTAATAAAGATTTTTATTAACATTCAACTCTTGAAATATATTTAAAACCTATTTTAAAAATAGATAATTTTGAATATAATTTTATAAAAAATATAATATATATTTTTTTTTTGATTTCATACAGTGACGGGATCTACTGCACTGATAGCATTGGAAAATATGAGTACTTCTATAAGCGATATTTGAGGAAAATTAAGAAAATCAATGTTTATAATGACGAAAATATATAAAAACATTCCGATTAAGAGGACATTAATTAGTGTACCCTTTGAAGATAAAAACAATAATTTCAAAAAATAGATCAATAAGTAGTTAATTGACAAAATACTGACCACAACGGCATACATAAGAATTGTAATAACATTGCTGAAGAAGACCTCATTGTGCAGACTATGTGCCGCTTCCATAATAATACTTTGAATCAATTAAAAATAAAACAATAATAATAATTATCACTATTTTCTTATCAAACAGTGACTTACGGTGGCATTAATCCATAGAGGAATAGGTTAACAGAAAATTTTGGAAATTCTTGAATTCCAAAAATTCTGATTAAAAAATTATTTAATAAAATCATAAAATTTACATATTTTACTGATAATGAAAAACTGAAATTTATTACTTAAAGAGAGTGCCGAACCAAATGCCAATTATTATCAGAATACAAGATTCGGGTATATTATTGACCAGAAACGGGCTCTTATGGAAACCAACTTTGATTAGCGATGCAATTATCAGATATAAGGCAAACATAAAAAATGTGACCACAAATGGCTTATAATAATTGCCATTTAAAAAGCCTTTAAATGAATTAGATTTATGTCTATCAGTGGTGCTATCGGTGTGTATAGAGTACTGCGAATCCATTAATATTGTGTCCGATTCTTCATCGGTTATGTTTTGCGATATTACTATCGCTATACAAGAAATTAAGATAATTATTATCACTGAGTTTGATCCCATTGTAGATATTATTTATAAAGATATTATGGATTTGAATATTCACTTAACAAACAAATTCTTCATTTAAAGTTCGCGCGATTTGATCGCGAAGTTCAATGACTTTATTTCAGATTATATTAAATACATTGAATTGAATGGCATTTGATTGACATTAATGTTAAACACAATTAATTAGTATTTTAATGTTTAATACATTGATTTGTTAAACAAATATTTGAAAATTAATTGAAATAATGTATTAATTGATCCCTAATTATGATTTGGCGATACCATCGATGACTAACTTAAGAGGACGTAATTAATGTGATTTTGTTAATAATTGTCTTCAGTTTGTAATCAATTGATTCAACATTTTTGATGAACTTTTAGCCGATTTATCAATCGATGCGTTGAATCGGTTCATCAAATGGTCGCATAACTGGTCGCCAACTAAGACAACACCGCAATAATTGTATGTGAAGTACTCGTGAGTGACAGCTATGGACATGTCATCACATAAGCTGGTGCTCAATGAAGAGCTCCTCAAAACACTGGACGATCACAAGCGACACATATTTGTCTTTGAATGGCTCCGATCTCTGGATCAGTCATTAAGTGGAGTACAAAAGGTTTGACACAAGAATGATATGTTTGCGATAATTGTGTTATATTTGTAAATATTGTTTTGATTCATGTCTTGTCTAGAATGACATCAAAGAATGTCAGAAGGAACTGATGAACCAGTTATTAGTCCGCATTCAAGAGCCAACCGGTCCGCCCACACGTCGACTTGTGGCCCGATGTTTGGCCACTTTGTTTTCAGTTGGCGACACTTTCCTCTTGTTTGAAGCCATTAATAAGTGCAACGATATTCTGAAGAATAAAGATGATTCTCCATCATATCAACCGATAAGACTGTAAGACAATTGTCGACTATTGAGTTGATAATTATGTTTTGAATAATTGTTTGTATTTGTTGTGATTAGAGCTGCCATTACTTGTTTGGGAACAATGTATGAAAAGTTAGGTCGTCTGATGGGTCGTTCATATGAAGACACGGTTCAACTGTTACTGAAATCTATAAAGAATGCTGAGGTATGTCATCAGTAGGTTATTAGTCTTGAAATCGCTAGAAATCGTCTTAAAATTATTGGATATTTTTATTGATTATTTTAGTCACAAACTCGATCTGAGATATATTTGACACTTGAAAAAATAGTGTCAGGAATGGGAAGTGCGGCAAATTCAGTGCACCGGGAGATATACAAACACATAAAGTCAGGAATGACCGATCGGGCAATGATTGTTAGGAGTAGTGCCGCTAAATGTTTGCACAAAATGTTAAGTTGTGCGCCTTTTCTCTATACAACTGAATTGGAAAATGTCTTCTCATTATGTTTCCGATCTCTCGATGGCTCTAATTATGAAGTCCGATGTGCTGTGTCTCTAGTTTTAGGTACTTTAGTTGCTCAGACACAACAGCCACCGTCACAACTAATGTCACAGCAAACTACAAAAACACGTATCGTTTCATTAGAAGAAGCATTAAATCTGTTAGCGTCAGGTTTTTTACGCGGAGGTATCGGTTCATTGAAAAGTGCCGGAGAAATGATTAAAGGAGTAACAGTTAGCCGAGAAACTCGAGTAGGTGTTACTCATGGATATGTAGTGTTGGTATCAGTAATGGGCTCATCATGGCTTGAAAGACATTTATTGCAGTTTTTAACGCATTTACTCGATTTATTGGCTAATCCTAAAACCAGTTCAACACATATGGAAGCAGTCGCTAGCCGTAAATGTGTGGCATTTGTTTTGAGATCAGTTTTGGGACGACAACTGAGCGAAAAGGCTCAGTTACAGGCTATCAAAGAGTTGACTAATATATTGAATCGATATTTAAATGCTAACATAAATGATTCAAATGGTGACAAAAGTACAAATAATTCAAGTGCTGCGGCAAATGCCGTCAAAGATTCACTTCAAGTCGATATTCAACTCATACAACATGTATTGGTTTGTGCTCTTCTTGAAATTGGTTGTCTTATCAAAAGTTTAAGCACTTCCTGTATAACTGTAGTAACGGATACACATTTATCTCTTATTGATACGATTGCATCTATTGTTGTCCACCCATCAAGTTGTGCCCGATTGTCGGCCGCGTGGTGTTTAAGATGCATAGCAGTTGCCGCTCCTTCACAATTGACACCACTTATTGAACGATCACTAGAAAGACTTGAAACTCTTAAGTCAAATCCAGAGACAATTAGTGGTTATTCTTGTGCTTTGTCTGCACTTTTAGGTGCCGTATGTCAAACTCCTTTAGGTATTCCTCACAATAAGGGGAAACTCATATTTAACATTGCAGAAGATTTATTGAGGAGTGCGTCACAAAACAGTCGTTTATCTCTTCAAAGGACACAAGCGGGTTGGCAGCTGATCGGCTCTATTATGACATTAGGACCGCCTGTTATTAAAGGATTATTACCACGTCTTCTTTTATTATGGAAGAACTCATTTCCGCGTTCATCTAAAGAACTTGAGTCTGAGAAAGCACGCGGCGATGCATTCACGTGGCAGATAACTCTTGAAAATAGAGCCGGTGCTCTGGCAGCCATGTCTAGCTTTTTGGCACATTGCGACAAATTAGCCACAGATGAAGTCAAACGCCGATTATTGACGCCAATTGAGTCGGCATTTACTATGTTGGCTGCTTTGAGTGTAGTTTTTAAAAGCTATGGAACTGCTGTTAAGGCCAGTGCAGCGATGGTTAGACTCAGACTTTACGAGACTTTACTACTATTGCCTCCTCAATCGTATGACAATTGCTATACAAACTTATTGAGACTATTAGTGTCAGAGTTTACTTTAACCGAAAATGTGGCCAATACTACCAGTTCTTTATTACGAAGTTTTTGTCATTCAGATGACGATACCATACTTGGCTCATGGCTTCAAGAAACTGATCACAAAGCTATTGAAGATCAGGTATTAACTTGATTTAAATATGATATTAATTTTAATCTATATTTTCATATCTAATATTTTTACTAAATTTTCTTAAATAATTTAATGCTTCTATAAGATGGAACCAAACAGAAAATTGGATAAAGAGTTTGTGAGTCAACTCTTTTTTCAAAACATTGAAATTGTTTTCTGTTTTTGTTTAATTTATTTTATTTTATTTTTTGTTTTTTATATTAAATTATATTATGTTAATTGAGATAATTAATAAATTTAATTAATATTTGATTTGATTTTTAATAAACAGTTGCAATCAAACAGTTCATCCAGTTCTGGAGCCATCGAACACGACACGACACATCTTTATAGATTATTATCCAATAAGAGTGTAGTACCGGATCCATATCCATTAGGTGTTGCTGTTATAGACAAGTCTGCACTTGTATTTTCTGCCGTATTTCCATTYGTGGCAAACAAACATCGTATCCAAATGTTGAACCATTTCAATGAGTGTATAAAACACGCCAAAGCCGCGCGTCAAGAAGCCGTCCAAATCAATATTCTTACAGCCATTTTGGGAGCTCTTAAAGTAAGTGAAACTGTGGTATTGTTGTAATAATTACTAAAAATAAAAATATTTTTTTATTAGGTTTTGGCTGAATCTAAAATGAGTTTAGGAACCGATGAAGTCAAGAGACTTATTGTTAATTTTATATTAAACACAATGAGTCACTCAAATCCATTGTTAAGATGTGCATCGGCTGAAGCTTTGGGTCGTTGCGGACAAATCATGAATGACGGGAGGTTTGTGGCGGAAATGGCTCAACAATGCTTTGATAAGTTGAAGAGTGCCAGAGACGCATTGTCTCGGACCGGACACTCTTTAGCATTGGGTTGTATTCATCGATATGTTGGTGGACTCGGTTCAAGTCAACACTTGAATACAGGCATTTCAATATTGTTAGCATTAGCTCAGGACAACTCCAATACAACAGTTCAAGTTTGGGCATTACATGCGTTAACATTGATTGCCGACTCCGGTGGACCAATGTTTCGCTCATATGTTGAGCCAACTCTATCACATTGTCTCAAATTACTGCTATCAGTACCAATGTCTTACTGTGATGTTCATCAATGTATTGGAAAATGTTTATCTGCAATGATTACCACAATTGGACCCGAATTGCAAAGCAACACAAACTCGATATGTGCGACACGATCGACACTTTTGGTTGCCTGTGCTATAATGCAAGAACACGACGACTTCTTGGTTCAGGCAGAAGCTATTGGTTGTCTTCAACAGTTGCATATGTTTGCACCAAAACATGTTAACCTCTCGACATTGGTTCCAGTTTTATGTGAAGCCATACGCAGTTCACATCTTATGTTAAGACGTGCATCAGTGGCCTGTTTGCATCAACTGTCACAGCGAGAAGCCAAAGAAGTTTCAGAACACGTCTACTTATGGACTAAGGATTCTAAGAACGATAACTTTAAAAAAGTTTTTAATACTTCACTCTCTGGTGATCACGGATTGGCTGGAATGTTGATATCTATGTTAGACTATGAAAAAGATGAAATAACAATCAATAATATTCATAAAATAATCCAAAGTTTGGTTCAAACTCTTGGATCTGAATATCTAAGTCAATGGCTAAATCTCTGTCGTGAAGTATTGACAGCTTCTGATCCTAATTCGGCTATTTCTTCACCAGATAAGGACGTAGATATTGAAAATGATGAGATGGTTGATGTTGAGGAACGGTTTAAGGCTGGAGAAGAACTTTCAACTCATCCGCCGATCTCTCCTCGATGGTTGACCCGAGTCTTTACAACACAAACATTGTGTCGTATCATAAATTCGTGCGAAAACGCCTCTAATAGTGAAATACATTTTGATTTATTATTAGCGCGAGAGAGACGTGCACTGAGTGGTAGTAAAGAAGATTTTCTTGCTCTGCATTTATCCGATTTGATTCGTATGGCTTTTATGGCGGCCACCAGTGATAGTGACGATTTACGTCTTGAAGGACTAATAGCATTACAACTTATAATCGACAAGTTTTCAAAAGTACCCGAACCTGAATTCCCTGATCATGTGATATTAGAACAATATCAGGCACAGGTAGGAGCGGCACTTAGGCCTGCATTTTCACCCGATACACCTTCACATGTAACTGCTATGGCTTGTCAAGTGTGCAGCGCATGGATAGGCAGTGGTGTGGCTCGTGATCTAAATGATTTGCGAAGAGTCAATCAATTGTTGGTATCGTCTTTGACTAAACTTCAAAAGGACTCGAGTTCTCGACTTTACAATGAGAGCGCCTCTACTATTGAAAAGTTAGCTATTCTTAAGGCTTGGGCTGAAGTTTATGTCGTTTCAATGGATCAAAACACGACTTACAAACAAAATATTAATAATAGCGAAGATTGTGACAATAATATTGAAAGTTTACTGCATTTAGTTGAACCAGAATTGCCATCACTTAGTAAATACTGGTTATCAGCGCTTAGAGATCACGCGTTATTGACACTACCGGAAGAGTTTTCAAGTCAATTGCCTCACGAAGGCGGAGCTTTCTATACCTCAGACACTATAGAAATTGCAAGACCACGATATCGGGCCTCGTGGCCACCTATACTACATGCGGCCGCTTTATGGCTCTGTAGTAATGGCTTTAAAAGTGACTGCGAAACTAACTTTAACGAAGAGCGCTTTCACTTACTATTTGGTATATGTATGGAAGCGCTATGTAATCCACGGTCATCTGAACCATTATCTTATGTATTGGTTTGTCTTAAATCGCTTCAACAACTTCTATGTCATCCCTATCCAGAGTCGCTCTTAGGCAAAGACCATCAGTTATCTATTGAATTGTCTAATGTTTTGCATCGATTGCTTCTCACTCGCGAAACATCTGAATGTCAACTATTGATCTTAAATATCGCCCAAATAGTAACACAATCACAACTCAATCATTTAGAAAATGAGAAAAAGAAAATACTCCGAGAGTTAGCACCGGCTAATCAAGAACCACACAATAGTGATAAAGTTTTGGCTAATTTAGGCGAAGGCACAGAATCGGGTGATATTATTCCCGGACAGTCACTTGTATACGCTTTGCTTGAAGTATGTCTTTGTGTATTAGTCCGACAAATGCCACAATTAAGTCCAGTTTTAGCCAATACACCCGGACTGGCAGTGATTGTACAGAAAAATAATTTAAGACTAACTGATGAATCAACTGAATTAATTGGTCGATCACTACAAATACTTTGTGATTTACCAATGCTTTGTTCACCTAAAGGAAGTACTATTATTTTACCATCGATTCTCTATTTGGTTACCGGAGTCTTAAAGGAATCGGCGACTCAATTAAACGGAGAGTTTATTGATAATCAACCCATAACTTCAGTATTCAATTGTTTGCGAACATTGAGTTCATCTTCTTTAACCAAAAATAGTATTTGTAGTCAAAAGTGGACCGAATTATTGCAAAGCACTTTAGCTGTGATTCTTGATTTATGTAAGACAAGTAAGTTATAGACTATACTCTATTCAGATTTGTTAACATATAAACAGATTAGATATTTAATAGACATATAATTGTTTGAATTTAATTATTTTTAAATTATTAGATTGAGTAATAAGTATTTTTATTACAATTGATTTGATTATTATTACCGGTATATTATTAATATATTTATTTGATTTATGGTAATAGAAAATTATTTTTTCTTAAAATATTAGGTCATACGGATGAGCCTAAACCAGACGACATAATCACTCTTATAGCTGTCGGTATATTTATAGTTAAAGCACCGTCAGATGTAGTACAGGTGCCAAACCTTCAATATCCTGCTATTAATCTACTGAAGCAGTCTCTGCAAAGTGACCGCAAGATTGTATGTTTTATTATTGTGTTATAAATTGTTGTAATTAATAATAAATTATATGACAATTTTTAGGTTCAATTGAAATGTATTCAAACTATACGAACTATTTTTGAACACAACAATCATAACGTGTCCGTACCGTACATACATATCCTCGCGCCCCGAATGATAGAGTTGCTCAACAATTTGGTTAAACAAATTAAATTAATCACTTGTGTCAGTCAAATGGAGTCGCAAATTATTCTTGAGTTATTTGCATCATTGGAAGTGCTTTTAGAAATAGCATCAAATGATAAAAGTAAGTAATTATAGTTTTAAAAAATTAACATTAATTAAGATATAATTTATATATATTATCCTTACAGAGGCAAACATTTTAAACATATATTTACCATTAATGTTGAATATTCTATCCGATGATAACATAAGTCGATTGAAGGAATATCGTCGAACTCTCCATAATTATGCGCTTCAAAAGTTAACATCAATTGGACCAAAATATCCTCAAGAATTTCGACAAGTGATTGGTTCGGTTCCACAGTTTAGGAATAGTCTTGAAAATGCTATCAGAAATCAACAAAAGAGCGAAAACAATGTTCAAAATCCTACAGAAAGTATTTCGGTATACAAAGAGACTAAAGCGTCCATCAAATTAAAAGTTGATTTTAGTAATTATACGGACAGTTAGTTTTTGTCAGTTTGATTGTTACGGTATACGTATTTGCTATTAATATTTTCATTTAAATTGTTTGATAATTTATTATTTATACCATAGTTTATATATTATTATACAAACGCTATATTTGTAAAACGGTATCCTTTAATATACAGTATAAGTGTATTTATAAAATGTTTCTATTATTATATTTATAACTATTTATTTAAATTTATTTATTGTACGTTTGAAATACAAAACAAATTTTTATAAATTGTTTGAGATTATAATATTAGATTAATTATGTTTTTACATTAAGATTAAGAGTCAAATATATTGTAATAATGATTGAAATTTTTTAAAAATGTGTTACATATATTATACAGTATTTTATTTTAATTACTGGTAATTATGGAGTGATAATATGTTGTATTTTTGTAAATGTAATGTAAATTATATTTAATTTAATAGTATAATCTCAAACAAGTAATTTATAGATTACTATAATTTATAAATAGATTATTATTAAGTTATATAAATGACATTTTATTTAAATAAATAAAATTTTCAGTTAACTTGTTGTTTTATCAATTTACATTTATAATAAAATTAATTTATTTCAAATATTTTAAAGTTATAAAATTAAACATACTATAAATTTAATATACTTTATCATATTTAGATAGAAATACTAGGATTAATAATTTAGTAAAATAATTAAATTATAATACTGTAGTCCAATATATAGCTAAATACTGTGTGTTTTACGAATCTATTCAATTACAGTAAAGAATATTTATATTTACACAAAACCTATTTTTTAATTAAATTTATAAATAATTTTTTAAAATACATTATTTTTAAACCTGAAAATGACCATCACCATTTTCAATAAGCATTTTAATACATATTTTCATATTGTTTTTAAAATGCATTAATGTTATACCCATAATGGTATATAATGAGAGCTCAGTGTTCAGACAGTACTTATCAATGCATTGCTTATATAATACATAATAGTTGAATAAATATTCGTAAAACAGTCGTTACATTATAATGTTTAATATTAAATTAAATTTTCAAACATAAAAATATCAGTTAGAGTTCAATAGATAACACCAAATAAAAATAAATTTCCTGTAAGTAGAGAAATATGGTTTTTTGGAAATAAAAAAGGGATGGAATTTTCCCAAACTTTACTTACTTAGAGCACTTCCAATGGAGGGAAGTTACCTAATAAATTCCTTTTAATTTTCACGGAAAAAAACAAAAACATTTTATTTCCCTCCCTTTACTGTTAGGAAAATATATTTTATTTTATTACAATAAATAATATCGAAACTAAAATATTATGGATATTAATACAAATTAGTTAAATATTTAAAAATAAAGTAAAAATTAATAAATTTATTTATTCTATTTAATATAATGTGTTATTTAGGGTTTGGTTTAATAGGTGGTAACACAAAGAAATAGATTCCATGGGAATTCCCAGTGAGCAGCAAACATAGGGAACGTTTGAAATTTAAAGCAAGGTAATTTGCTCGAACACTATTTATAATATAATTTTTTATTATTATCTGATTTATAAAATTAAAAAATTATGAATAAAAAGTCCTAATTGTGGAAATAGGAAAAATAAATAAACTAATTAATTATATCAATAGTTTATAAAAATTGATATTAATTTTTGTGAAAAAAAACATTTGTTTATAAACAAATAACTAAATTGAAATAAGTTTTAAAAATATTAAAATACATATTTTAAAATAAATAATGTCCCATCATTTGTCAGAGAGCATAGAAAATATAAGATTTTTTAATTAATATCTTTTTGATAATTTGATAATTTGTTGGATTTTAATTATACATTTATGGGAACAAATGTAGATTATATACAGCCAGTAGAAAATTTCACTTAAAATTTGTCCCCAAACCAATCCCCACCCACCCAACCACTTCCTGGTTGTTCAAAAATGGTGTCCAAAAATTAAATAAAAAAATTTAGAATTTTTTTTTGAATTTTTTTTGAATTTTTTTTTGAATTTTTTTGAATATTTTTTGATTTTTTTTCCGTTTTTAAGTTTATTTTTTAATACTGAATCATTTGATACCCCACATGACTGTAGTTGTTTATTTTGTCATAGTAAATCGTTTGATACCCTACATAACTATAGTTGATTTTATTTTATCATACTGAATTTAATTTTTAATTATTATTAGGAATTCGTGTGGAAATGCTTTCTAGCATTCTCAACTGGTTTTTTATTAGATTTATCCATAAAAATAGATACTGTATTAATATATAGCAATAATTATGTAAAAGTATTGCACGCGACAAAAATTAACTCAAATTATTTTAAATCCAAACAACTAAACATTTATTAAAAAAGAAAAAAATGAGTAAAGAAATGATGGATAAAGACAATGAAAAAGGTGTCCAACGAAAGGATGATAAAGACAAGTGGTGTTGGACTCGATTAGCTGAGGCTAAGAGTAAAAACAAAGGAAATTGTAAGAAATTGATGAGTGAATGCATTCAAATCCTCATCGAGTCGTGTATGTGTTTCAACTAATTATCCAAACGTTTTTAATTACAATTTTATTAAACTAAATGCCATTTTTTCATTAATACTTTTGTATGTATAGGTGTTTCAATTGTTATGTTCATATGTGAGAATTTAATCGGAATTGTATTTCTTATACTAAGTAATAAAAATAAACTAAATTATAAATGTATTTAAAGAGTTGACTAATATATGTTTTATCCCGACCTCCCAAAGGCATCGTATACCTGAATGACTGTCCCGTTAGTAAAGTGCTTCCAATCAGTTTACTGGTATACGGTATATCCAGTCTTGCAAATGGCATAAGTATCCAAATAGTTCGGTCCAAATGTCTGAATATCAATGACCCGAAAGACGGTTTTGCGACTTTAACTAAACTCGTGTTTTTTATTTCATTATTTGTAATGCTATTCACTTTTATTATTGGTTTGTATAATAATCACTGTATTATACTTTAAATTATATATAAAGACAGTAAAATGTATTTTGTATTTGAATGTAATAAATAGCGGCGATTGCTGTCTACGGATCAATGGATTTGGTGGTCACAAGAAATGAGAGTTCAGAAAATTATTGCAATTATTTTTACTATTGGTTTGCATTTGCATTCATAACATTTATTATTATCATATGCTTAGTGTTTATTATATGCTTCTGTTGTCTCATTTGCTTTGTTATGGCTGAAGTCGACACTCAAGAAGTGCAGATTGAAAGTCAAACAACACATGTTGTGGTCATTCATGAAACTGATGATAATTAATACAAAAAAAGTATTTTTCCGTTATTTTTTATTTTAAACAAAATTTGTCTTATAATGAATTTTTTACTCGTTATGCAAAATTTTAATATTTTATTTAACATTTTAATGAAATTTATATTTATATATTGTATTATATAGTATACCATATATATATATATATACTGTATATATTATTTGATTATCTTTTAATATTTATTTTCGTTATTTTCCTATTGCAAAATAAATCAATTTCAATATCTTAATAAAGTTAATAACTTATACTATGTTAAAAAAATGTTGATTACTTAGATATATAACATAAAAACAGTACAATTGTCATATTTGCTTACATATTAACAAAACTTATATATGATATAATTTGTTATAATTTAAAATTGAATGTATTTTGTAAAATATAATAAAAATTTTATTGTGTATTTTGTAATTGATTAACTGGTTATATATTGTATAACAAAAAATGACAAAACGTGACTTATCTTTCAATTTACTTATAATTGTCATTTGTAAGGCCCGTATAAAGACATGAGAGCAACAAAAGCATCGGTAGATTAYGTTTGTTAGACACGAGTGATTGAATGTTAACTAAATGCAAACATAACTATTGAACTTTTTTATGTCCTGTTATCTGTTTGTCATTTAAATTCAACTAAATTATAACAACAATATCGTTGCTCTTAATAACAAAAAATACTGTAAAATAAAATTTTGATTACAGTGTCATAGCATTGATTTCGATGAATGAGATAATGATTTCGATTTAAGTGACAATGAATTCGATTACGAGATAAACAATTCGATGACTGATATATTGAATTCGATTAATATGTTTAWTGTATTATATTATTGGTTTACATTATATTTTAGATTTAATGCAAACTTTAACATTGTTTTACAGTTCTATATATATTCTATGCAAATATCGAATTCAATATATCAGTCATCGAATTGTTTATCTCGTAATCGAATTCATTGTCACTTAAATCGAAATCATTATCTCATTCATCGAAATCAATGCTATGACACTGTATTATAATTGGTTTAATTGATATTTGATTGTTAGCCTTAAAAATCAAAAAGTATCATTTATTTCACTTATTAAACTAAACACCAGAAATATTTGAATTACTTTAATTTKAAACAATATGTTATTACTGTAACCATTATTAGTATAAAACATTCATKTTTCAAGTTTTTTAGATGAACWTTTTWTCCATATCATGTAACAATAATATTTATTTAGCAAAAAAATAATACAATTTTGAATAAGTAACGAATTAGTAACTTTGTTTTTAGTAAATAAATTATATACAAAACTTATTTTAAAAATATTATATTTAATACAATAAAATTAGTAATAATATTAATAACATTAGGATACTTATGAGTYAAGTCTGGTGGAAGTCCTGTAAATGCTATTTATTTTGATGATACAGTAAATTACTGAAAATTATATTTTATTAAAACAAAAAATAACAAAATATGCATTTTAATAAATAGATTGTATAAAATATTATAATGATTTTTACATTTAAAATGTTACTTAAATAGTAAAATATTAAAAAATGTTTTTAGTTTGTTAAATACTGTAAAAATTGGAAATTTATTATAAGAAATAATTTTTTAATATTTTGTAAATATATTTTGTATTTGAATAGAAATAGAGATATTGATTGAATTATTTTTAAAATGATAGGTTAAACAAGTTTTCCGTTAAAATATGACACTATTGAATGATTGACAACTGAGTACAGTATATGGTATATAATATATATATTTATTTTTCAATACTTTAAATAACAATCCTTTTAATGGATAGAGAGTTAGAGTAAAGCAAAATAATCTTTTATGCAAACAACTATTAAACACATTTTAACAATAAGTTTTATAATATAAAAATTTTTCATAATATTTCATATTTTTGTATAATTTTCAAGTACTAAATGTATATTATATATATACTACAGAATTTTGGTGTATCACTAATTTTTARCGTTATTTTCATTTAACATATATTCATCTATATATCTAATATCTATTTTAATAATTATCAATTTGATATACAATTTTTAAATAAATCAATATTTAACCATAATAAATATTTTTTATAACAATATACTGTATAAGATACTAATATAAATTATATAATTAAAAAATTTGTAATTTTTAGTTATATATATATTTATATTAATATCTTATACAGTATATTGTTATAAAAAATATTTATTATGGTTAAATATTGATTTATTCAAAAATTGTATAATACATAATATACATAAGAATTTATAATATTATTGAAACAAAATATAGTATTTTTATTTTCAATTACTAAAAGTTTCAAAATATATGGATTAAGATTTATTTATTTTAGTTTATTTAATGGATATTCTATATGTGAAAACTTTACCTTTTGAGCACATGGGTTGTCATAACATTTATACAACTCTATCAGCAAACAGTTATAAACTAAACATTTCCTACTGAGATACCTGTGCACAATAATTATAAGCATCACAACATGCAATTTAATAACACAAATATACAGTTATATTAGTAAACAAATTTTATAACAAATTATTAGTTGAGAAAATGATTAAATAAATATATTTTATAATATACAGTATAGTATTCAATGTTATTATGTAATAAAGTTTAGTGCAGTAAAATCAGTAAAAATATTGCTTACCGATAGACTGGATGTGCAAACTGTGTGATCCAACGCATGTCATATAATGTGGGATTCAGTTGAAGCACATCCTCACCGGTTGGCTGAGCCTACAAACAGTTGTGATAGTACTGGGCTCAAGCAATACAAGTGCCAGCCCTTAACCAATGGGTACACACACCAAGTGGAGGGGCTTTACTCTAGCAAAAGAAATTGGGAATTCATATATCAATAAGTTGGTGGATGACTCTTGAAGTTGTTGTTGTTGTGCTTCTGGATGAGACTCAGTGCTCTTCTCTTCTTTGCTCTCAATCTTCAGTTGTTGTGTTGAAGAGCTCTCCATTTGATTCCTAAGAGTTATTTTCGAAAGCCATCGCACAATCATCTCATCTCAACTCTTACCTCTTGTCGCTGAAGAAGTCGTTGATAAAGAAGTCATGAATATAGGCTCGTCATCCTCCCCGTCCACAATGTATGGAGCAGCTGATGTTCAACACAGATCCTCGTTTACCAGTGCTTATTACGACCCGTTTTATCCTAATTGTGGTCCAACAACATGGAGCTCATACCCGCCGCCAACATATCAGAGTCAATCGGGTCAGACTGTCCCATCCAGTGCCGGGTCATGTCTGCTGCCACCGGCACCCAAATCATTAGTTGGGCCACACTTTACACCAGTTCATCATCAGAGACGTAAACGCCGAGTGCTCTTCACTCAGGCACAGGTACGTCAATGGTGTGCATATGTGAGATGAGTGCCTACTTATGTGGGTATATGACCTCTTCAAGACACACGATGACCCTTATAATTGTATTCACACTTGATATGTAGTTGCTATGGATGACCCTCTCATCAACACTATTCCCCTTCTACACCATTGCTAATCCCTTTCCTTATCTAATTGTGTATAATATACAGTATATCCTCAACAAGTATTAAGCAAGTGATGCTCTCAAACACTAAAATTCTTAAACATTAAACTCTCGTTTTCTTACAATCCGTTTTTAGTGTTATCTTTATTATCAATTTATACATTATGTTATGTTATGTAACGGTATCTCATTTTCAACAGTCAACTCATCTCCAATAACTTCTCTCTCTCTCTTTCTTTCTTTCTTTCTCTCTCTCTCTCCTTTTTATCTATCAATTTATAATATAATGTGTAAAAATAATTATTTATTTTGCAAATTTACTAGAAAATATAACTTAAATATTATAACTAATTAATTTTTATTATTAACATAGATTATAACAATTTCAATATTTTTATCGATGATATTAATTTTAATAGTTTAAATATTTTCAATAATTTCAGGACATATTTTCTAATTAATATAATGTATAAATATTATTTAAAAACATGTTTGTATGGCTCAGGTTTATGAATTGGAAAGACGTTTCAAACAACAGAGATACCTATCAGCGCCTGAAAGGGAACACTTGGCATCACTTATACAACTGACACCAACACAAGTAAGTCCTGTCAAAGTTTGCCTCAATAACCTACACATTACTATCGACAATACCAATAGTTATTGTTATATTGTTTTATTGCAATATTATTTTAAGTGCTTAGAAATTATATCAAATTTGAAATTCTATTAAAATAATATTAAATATTTTTTTAAAAATCTGTATAAATAATCCTTTTATGGATCTTATAGTAGTGTTTATATGATATTTTTATTGTAATTGTTATCATTTAGATTAGTTTAACTAACAAATATTTTGTAGTCAAAATTACTATAGTGAAAAAATATAATTTCAAATGTGTTTTAAAACACACGAGGGTCTAAATTTTTAATCTCATATATAAGTGACAGTAACCCATGTAACACATCCACTAAAATATAAGATAAAAGCACTAAATTAATTTGATTAAATATTAATTTAAGCATTGTAATTTATTTAATATAAAAAATATTAAATAAATACAGTATTTATCAATCATATGATAAAACCAACCTTAAATATTTATCAATTGTTGAAATTATTTTGTTATTATTTGAATGTATTTGAGTAAATGTTTGCGTTTAGACAAAAAATATTTGAATTTTTTCAGTTTCCTACTGTCATTCAACATAATGTGCTATATTTGATGCTAACCTTAACAGCTATTAATAGCCAAAGTAGTAATAAGTTAAACAATGTTATCATTACCTTTACCTTGGATAATGTGGATAGTGTTGAACAATAAAAAATCATAATTTTATTCAATTTAAAAATCTTTTGTATAACTTATTGTTTTTCTTACATTTTGTTTCACTGCAGGTGAAGATCTGGTTTCAGGTAAGCCTACAGTTATATATAAAATACATTTCATATGTTTAGAGGATAGGAATAATATTTAAATAGACGAATGATTTCATAATACAATTGCTTAGAGTGATAGCAATTAAATGTAAATATTTAACAAAAAAAAGGTTTCCTTTTATATAATAAGTTTTTTTATGTTTTAACTTTGTATTACTACTACTACTACTACTACTACTWCTACTACCACTACTACTACTATTACTATAACCTTATATTTCTGTCTAATTCATTGGCAAACGATATATCTGTGATCAGAATCATCGCTATAAATGTAAACGTCAGGCGAAGGAAAAGGCGATGAGTGACGCCTCGCCAACACCACCACAAAATAGTACATCCACTGGCAGTGGTGTCAATCAAGCGGGCACCAGTACCACTAACAACTCAAGTCAATCCTACAGTTCCTCTCCACGTAAGGTTCCTGTTCAGGTGCTTGAAAACAATGATTGGGGAACTGGTATGACGGGATTGACACCGGTAACGGCTATGACCACTGTTCCAGAGTGTCACGGGATTCCCATGCCACCCCGTTCCATTTATTTCGACCGTTCCCTTCCAATACATTATGGAAACGGGATTCCACCGGGATTTCAATAGTATTTAGACATTTATAACATTTAGATTATAAAATAACATTATTAAAATTATAAAACATAATTACAATTATCACTATATATTTTAAATATAAATATATAGAATTAACTATAAAAAACTTTTATGTTATCATCATTTTGTGGTTACATTCATATTGTGTTCACTTTGTAATAGCGCACACATTGCATCTCAATAGTGGTTTAACAAATTGTGTGAAAATATTGTGTGAGAAATATGTAAATATAATAATAATAATAAATGTTTAGTTTATACAATTTAATCAATGGATAAAATTGTTATTGAGTTAAACAATTGATTTGTAAAATCGCAAACTTCCTCATTAGTATTCAACTGTAAGATATATTTAGTATATAATGCACACATATACAACATATAACATAAACATGTATATACAGTATACACAATTACAAAAGTTATATAAGAGATTGATTGTATGATAAATTAAAATGTAAGTGAAAGCCAACAAATTGAAGCATAAAATCGTACTCTTTTTGTGGTTGAGCCGCCGTTTTAGTTCAAAATATATTGATTTATTTGAAAATCTCTTTTTTATCACCTTTTTTATTATATCATACAGTATTATGTGATTATTATTATTTATAAGCAATGTATTATATAGTATAAATATATAAGCAACAAATTTTGTATTTGATTAAATAATAATAATAAAATAAACTGTTGAACCCCACACGCATTTTCCCATTTATTGATTGAGACATTCAAACAAACATTTCAAATACAGTTGTTATAACAAAGCGTTTTATTTATCAAAAAAAATTGATGCAATAATTCTCATATAATTCATTGCTTACTCTAATCGCATGATTTGCTATAAAACGATATAAAAATATGCGTTAAACACAATAATAATATGTTTAATAATAAAAATTAAAAATTTAAAGAAGAAATATTGAGAAATCTGTAATAAAAAATGAATTTCAGTTCAATTCATAACCAAATAATTCATAGCTGTTGCACATCAATACATAATAGTTAAGCATTTAAATAGTGTGCCCGTAATTATACAATAAATATATAGTTGTATACAGTGTATACATAYCTGCAATACTTATATACATAACCATAGTCTAGCTGTTGTGGGAACAGACAATTCAGTCAATTGTTGTTTTGTTGTATTATTTGATATGTCTTTATTATGTTTAGCTAAAAATTTTTTTTACAAATGCAAGTAGCAGTAAATATATACTAGAATTATTTATATGACCATAAACTACTTGTTCAATAGTATAATTGTTGGGCATTTATACCCTAAATTTATATATAGATTTATTAGTAATTGATAAAAAAGGGAGTCTGCCATAGCATAAACATTGCTTTAGATAAGCCTGACTGCACTTATGTATATAGAATGAGAGCACTGGGATGAGAGTACATATATTTATACYGGTACTACATATTCACGCATTATACTTATGTATATTATTGTATATAAAAAAATTTAAAAAATAGTAAAACATATTTTTATATAATTTTTTTACAAGTAGTGTTGGCCGAGACTTCCTACTCTTTTTAATAATAGGCATACATAACAATAAGTATATATTTTATATTAAGTGAAATTATTCAATAAAATATTTACTTTCACTCTTCACAACAAACGTTTCACTTAATTTGTTGCATTTTCAATGGTAACAATCGATATATCTCGATGTGGTGGTCAATATGGGAGGGGTGGCAAACATATAACCTATACATTCGAGTCAATATAAAAGCCATTACTTATTTTCACACTTTTTTTTCTTTCATTTAAAAATAGTTTAACAATATATTTGTTAGTGAAATATTAAGTCTCTGTGAGTTAAACACGAAGTTTATAGAAAGGCACGTCCCTTTGAATGCATGGACAGTATAGCTATGTGAAAGCTATGGTACTGACTATGATGGAAGTGGAAGTGCACGTGTGTCCTATGGATCTAAACCATTGTCAATGACTGAGAGAGAGAGAGAGAGAGAGAGAGAGAGAGAGAGAGAGAGAGAGAGAGAGAGAGAGAGAGATCAATTCATTGAGACTTTTAAATAGAAAGCCATTGAGTCATACAAATGGAGTGATTGGGAAGTTTGGGTTTGGGTGTCAAATACTGGGATATATTTACAAAGCTATTAGTAATAGCTGTGAGGAACAGAGGAACAGTAAGAGGCTAGACCTCAATCAATACAACAGATATGTTAAGAGCTTCTGGTGGTAGATGTGTTAGACCAGAGTTTTTGCAAAAGTGATGGCAGAATACTGTTCATGTCATTTGACATTATAATAGTATTCATATAATGAATTTGTCACTTAAATGTATATATTGTCAGTTGATATGACAAACCACTATTTACTACTAGATATGAATATAGCATTTATAACTATTCAATACATATGACATCAAAAACACTCGCTGTTGGCTATCAATTGTAAATTGCATCTAATAATATAATATTTTGATAACTATATTGTCATTTAACCAATAATTTTCAAAAAAAGTTATTGTAATTTAATAGGCAGTATCATTAACATTTAAAAAGAAAATTATATATTTTTTAATAAATATTTTATATTGTACTTAATAAGCCACCAAAAGTTTTATCTCTAATAAGATCTAAGAGCAAAAATATAAACAAAATATAATTATTTTTTTGTGATTTTTGTGATCAATAGTATTGTATTCAATGATATTGTTGTACTGATATAAGACCAGTGATGACACTATTGTGTTGAAGACAAGCTTCTGATTAAAACCAAATAAAGTGATGTCATTTGTGAAACAAACTTTGTTTCGATCGCTGGCTTTATATTTATATTATWTATCTATTGATATATAAGAGAGAAAATGTTTTTTTCTTCACTCGTCACTAACAGATAAAGAGCGACAAATAGTTTGATATATGGCTACTGAGTCGGTGGTGGCTATGAATTAAATGTTAGACACAAGTGAAGAGACAACACAGTAGTGTCCGCAGTGTTAGTGCAACCAAAAGATATTGAAGTGCAGTGTCAACACTGACTGTGTGTATATGTGTATTGAGTGACCATATAATAGAAAAAGGCTATAATAGAGAATTGAAATTGAAATATATTGAATGYTAGAGAGAGAGAGAGAGAGAGAGAGAGAGAGAGAGAGAGAGAGAGAGAGAGAGAGAGAGAGAGAGAGAGAGAGAGAGAGAGAGAGAGAGAGAGAGAGMGAGAGCGTTATTGAAAGGATGTGTTGACGTGAAACATATAATACACATTATATTGCTATATATTATATGGTAACTATAGGGTCGGTTGGTTGCGCTAAAACCATACCATTTATTGAGCAAAATCATCGCAAATATCTGTTAGAAAAGTGAGCGATAAAGTTGTGGTAAAAGTTGTAGTATTTTTAATGGAGACAAGCTTTGGATATACAGTATATAAACATTCATATGGACCGGGAATGACATTCTTGAAATGCCAACAAATTTCATGTGCAGGTGTGATATCGTTAGTATATATCAATATATACACAAAAGTTTTCAATTGTGTTTTTAGTGAAACCACACAAACTCTATACAATAAAAAAAATATTGAACCGATTGACTGATTTGAATGAAATGATGAGAAGGTTTTATAGATTTTAGTAGTTTTGTGTATCATTGCTATCGATAGTATCCTTTAGTCCTGTCATTGTATTGACAGTAACTGCAAAGTGTTGGTCAAGGATTTGCTTATTTTCAACACTATTTATCACATATTATACTATTCATACAATTTATACTATTTTTAAGTTAATGTATATCCGATTAATTTATTTAATTTATTCTTGAAATTGTATAGTAGATATACAGTTTAAGCGATATTAATCGCTATTATATAATATAAATCATAAATTGATATTATGACTTAAGTTATCAAAATATTTTATATTATTTTATATTAAAAGTTTAGTGTGACATTTTTTTCAAAAGTTATGTATATAAAATAAATTAAAAATTAGAAGTTGTATAATAAAAATAATATTTTTTAAAGATTTAGATGTATACCAAACTTGCAGATAAAAGAGAGCCAATTACTAATTTTACAAATTTTTATTACTTAATATTTGAAATAATGTTTACAAAGAACTTAGGATTTGGTTAGACCATCAAAATAATGAATAAAAAACAAAAACTCATGAATCAAATTTTAATTTTATATAAAAAATATTGAATTTTAAATACATATATTACTAAACACACACACAAATACCAAAATTATGATTTATGCAAATGTTTTGAGTAAAAAATATAATATTAAAATGAAATGAATGTGAAATGATTATTCACTTGAATTGTCAGCAATTTTATATATGTTTAAGATTATGGGTTCACTGTATGAAAAGTGGATGAGTTATTGAGGAGCACTTCAAATACCAAACAATTTTTATGTATATTAAAAAATTACTGTTTTTGTCAATCATTTAATAAAGACTATACAATGTGTTTTAATAATAATATTTTATGTTTAATTGAATTGTGATCATTGGTTGGCAATCATAGCAGTAGGAGCTCCTATCAAATCAATTGCAATACTCGGGTTTATGAAGTTTGGGACAGACTATCTGAAAGAGAAAAATTGACTCTCAAGTGGAGGACTTGTATGTGATTTTAGCTTTAAATTTAAGTATTGAGTTATAAAATACGTTATTTATAAAAAAAATTGTTGAATTAAATGACAGAATTCATACAATCATTTTCATAGAAGAGGTCATAAACTGATTTTTTATCCGATTTTAAGTGAGTTTTGTGTCACATATAACACACGAAACATTGTTATATAGAGTTGAGATATGTATTGTCGATGGAAATGGAGTAAATCATTGGTAGGCATAACTATCGAGTAGTATTATATTTTTGACAAAAAATTAAGATTTCAATTGCAGTAAAATTGTGTGACAGTTAAGCAGATATTATATATTCAACTGCAAGTCTATAGGTATAACAATATTATAGAGTGTAACCCATGATAACAGTATAAT